TCCATGACTGATGGGCATTTGCCTAGGGTAGTAGGAGCTGGGGAAGGAGGCCAGAAGGGGGCTGGGGTCACATCTACCCAGTGTTCAGGCCTCCCTACTTCCCATAAAAAGTCCCCCATCTGTCACGCCCGACATACCTGCTACACAGAACCTGGGACCCGATCACTGGGTCTTTGCCCAACTGCATCACTTGGCACCAACCGAAAGAGCATAAGCCTCAGGCGCCCAGGGTCCGAGTTTGCAGGCTTTTTGTTGAACACAGAACTAACTCTACGTTCACATGGACGATTGAGCTGGGAAGGCAGAGCCCAGTCCCATCCTCATCCTGCCAGCTACCTCTGTGGCCCGAAATCCAGCCCAACCTCCACCTTCCCAAGCCAATGAAGTTCAATGACTGGTCCAAGGTCTCCAGCCAGCCAGAGGCAGAACTGGAACAAAATCTGGCTCCCAAACTGTTTGTGATGACACTGTGTTGGTTTCCCCCTTAGGGTAAGAAACATAAGTTCCCAACAGACTGGATGGCAGGGACCAGCACCCTGAAGGGGCTCAGTCTGCCTCCCCTGCACTCCCCTTTCAGGCAGGACACCGCTTTCCACCTGCAGATCAGGGGTGAGGAGATGGGGCACCCAGTGTGTCACCACCCAGCCGAGAGGAGGGCAATGCAGGGGAGCTCAGACACCTCTGGCCTTATGCTCCGTCCTTGCCCTTGAGCCCAGGCACATCGAGATGGGGGTCTGATGGCGCCAGAGTTGGAAAGCTGAAGCCTCTGCCCAAGGTGCAGACCCCCAACATCATCATCTCCACAGAAACCTGTTGAGCATCACAGCAACACACACGCCTCCCCTGACAGACTGCATGTGAGGTGCACTGGCTGGGAGGCGAACCTGGGTCTTCTGCATGGAAGGCGAGGATTCTACCACTGAACCTGCCCTGCCCCTATTTGTACTTTGGCTTGTGTGGTGGTTATGATTTTTGAGTCAACTTGGCTGGGCCTGGTTGAGTGGCTGGGCAGCTGGATGGAGTATTCCCCATGATGAGACTGGTCATCAACTCCATGGTGGAATCTACTGTGAGCAGCTGAGTAGCTGCCTTAGGGATGTGGTCTGCTTCCAGTATATAAGCAGAAGCCTTGGAGAATGGGCTCTAGCTTATGGCACGC